CTAAGGCCACTTTCTCTTCTTCGGAGCACACCATTCGATCACGTAGTTCAGTCCCATAACTCTCAATCTCCCAGAACCGCTTAAGGGATTGATCCGATTCACAACAGCCTCTGGTTACACTAGTCAGCCCAACGTCCCGGGTAAACAGTGTTCGGATGGCGTGTGTTCTTGTTCCAGACTTCACTCTACCATCCGGAGGTCCAATGCAAGTCCACCCAAGTGGACCCAAACGAGCCACCGGTTCACCCACCTTTCCACGGATATCAACAAAAGAATAATGTAAATCGGCGTTATCAACACCTGTCAGCAAGTCCACCAAGCCATCCTTCGCTGGTGACGCAAAATCACACTGGGCAAGGTGAGGCCACTTGTTTCTGCTTGCTCCCCAATTTTCAACTTGATAGTTTCCGGTCACACTGCAGGGGAAAGTCTTCACTTCGATCTCCCTTTTAAACTGGCCATTAACACTTTCGATCTCTATCCTCAACGGCATGGTTTGGAATATCTCTTAGGAGTTGTTCAACACATGGACTTTCACGGTTTGATAGGACTCCATAAGCCCAAGAGCTCCAGCCACTCTTTCATTCAAAAACGAATCATTTGAGGCATCGTCTAGGATTGCATTTACTTTAATCTTTCTCCCTTGTGCCTTAACCCATACTGGAATAGTACGCTACAGCTCCGAGGGACGCAGAAAGGCTTAAACGTATTTGTGACAGAGGTTGACGAACATCCCTGACAAAGGAACAAAAATTAACAAAAAAAACAACAAAGAGGAGAACAAGTCAAATCAGTGATACTTATCAAAAGCAAACTTGAAGTCAAGGGGAAAAAAACAAATATACAATAAACACAAAATCTACGAACAAATGAATTACATATTCAACATTCCCAATGTACGTATTTGGTTGCAAAGAAGTTGGAAGGAACGCTATTGCTATTTCCTAGTTACGTTTATTGTTTTAAATGTCCGTTATAAATTAAAGGAATTGAAAGTAGATGAGCTATATTGTCACTGATAATGTGTGGTACTCGTCCCTCATCAAATTTTTTATAGATCGGCTACCCGAGCTTAGATCCCTTGTTCTTTTTTGCATCCATAAAAATGTAAAAAAAAGACCTCGGCCAATATCCTGCCATCTTAGGCTCTTGCTTGGTCAGTAACGCACATATATTTTACGGAACTAAGTCACTTATTAAACCAATCCAATAACCACCAAGTTTTTTTCAAATCACAGCTGCAAATAGTGATTTTTTAAATCATGTTTTGCACGTTTTGGCCTGCCTTATTGAATCAGCTTCAAAGTCATAACTGATTGTCTGGTAACGGTGCTTACGTGAGGAAAGAATACAGGATGATTGTCAAAAGCATCCCGATGATGGAAAGGCTTAATCCTACGTAAGTGATTGTCTCCAGAATAGTTCCGTCCTTCTTGGTGAGCTGTATTAGAAATTAGATACAAAAAATAAAGAGTTAATCAATTGACCAAACGGATGAACTACTTGTAAGTACACTCGAAAATACAGACATAATTTTAAAAAATACCTTTGTGTCACCATTGTCAAAGTCAACTAAGACAGCAAAGTAAGTCAAATGATTGCATCTACAAACTGTTTCCGCTGAGTTGCTCTTCGCTGAATCTACATGACAACCCTCGCCAGTGAACCCGTCTGGACTTAAAAAAAAAAGTTAATGAATATGACAAATGGAAAAAAAATATGTGAAGAAAGGGATTGGAATTTCAAACAAGCAGAGTGTTTAAAGGCCTATTTGAAGGAGGGCTTGGTTTTTTTTAGGTACACATTTGGACCATCAAGATACCCTCACCTTATTCTTCATAGGTAAAATATATGATAAACATTAATTTCAGGTACAAAATATCTCTGGAAGTGACAGACAAACAGAAAAAAAAAAAGTCCATGGTATTAATTTAATTTTGGACGTTGAAGAAGAACTTTAATTTAAAATTAAATCACTCAATGTATATGCATTTTACCTCTTGCTATAGCCGCTCCAAAACACGCAACGCTTCTCTGCCTCCACGACCTGAAAATAGATTTTATTTCAAATGAATCAAGTCAACACAACATAAAAAAAAGGACTGAAGTTATCTCTCAGTGCTCTAAAATACTAATTACCTCCAGGCTTCTGAACTTCAAGACGACATCCTGTTGTAGTTTTTCCGGCTTAGGATCCATATCTGCGGTCATTATCCTGGTGTTCACAAACCTGTATGGAACATTTTGCTAAAAATAATCAATGCTAAGCTTATTAAGTATAAACTCTAAAAATAAAAAAAATTGAGTTTTTTTTTTTTTAATAGGATTGTGTAGGCCTTTACAGACAACTAACGGTGTTTGATTAACTGAGTTACAAGCCTTCGAGTTACCGTGGATATCCAAAAGTACTGGACTGTATCATACAGCAGATAATAGGCTAAAAAAGAGGCTTTTTTAGATATTTCTCTTGGTTCCTAAGAAAATCTATTTTGAAGTTGTACAATAGGTAATATCTCGCTGAGAAGTCGCAGGAAAATGTTCGTAAAGGCCTCACACCCTTTTCCGCAATAACATCTGACAAATATTCAATCCAAGTTTCATCAAAAACATAACCTATTTAACAATCCGTGACTGTGCTCTGTTCTGCTATAAAGCACGCGGAAGCGGCTAGAGCACCAAAGAAGTGTAGGGAGAAACACAAGACGTAGTCGAGTGCAAATTGAGATCCTGAACAAAAGTCCGCGCAAAACGTAACCCCTGCTAACGACCCTATCCCAGATCCGGCATTTCATCTTTCAATATTTGGTACCAGCTATCCTAAACTGGCACTCCTTACGCCGTAGGTCGCTTTTTTTTTTTAAGATGCAGTATATTTTCCTGCTACAAATGTAACAAAGATGATTTCTCTAACCAAAGAGCAAAAAAAAAGTTTTGCCCATTTTGACGAGTTATTGCTAAAAGTAACCTTAAATCAAGCATCCCATATTCGTTATTAAAGGGAAGTGCCTTTATAAAATGTTTGTCTCCACTGTGAAAAGTTAATAGTAAGAAAAATAATTTATTTCTAGTGCAATTGTCCTAAATTTAAGAAAAAAAGCTTTATTATGATCGGCTGAATTCTCTGCATCATGGAACATATTAACTCAAAGCAGACATGCTAAACTTGCACCAGTTCTCAAAAATCTCACGCATTAAGCTGACCTTGTATTGTCAGTTTCATTCCCAACAGATTGATGTGTCAGCAGTAGTTCGTGAAGATCCTTGTACACACACCCTACGATCACTGACCCTGAAAAGGAAACAGAATACAAAAAGATATGTGAAAATGAAATGCATCGGTATATGCCACAAAGCGAGCTCTTAATCTTGAGAGGTAATTTATGTTTAATGAAATTCGAGTTCGTTCGGGAATCTTGACCAAGATATTTTCGAAAATTAAAACAGACTGTAAATGTTCGACTCTCCTACATTAATGCTTAACTAACCAAACAAACCAATTGTTACTTTTACACTGGATATTGCATCATATGTCATATAATTAATTGACCCCAACACTTTGCTAGCAATTATTATCTTAGCTACCCATTTTGCTATTGTTATTTTTCTGCTTGATTTGGACATCATAAAAATACCAGAGCAGTTTGCGCGTTTCNAATTGAATAAAAACAGCGAAAAATCATTAAGATGCAAAATATCCAAGTAACAAAAAAGCACAAATGTGAAATGGATCTCGGGTTCTAACTCACCCATTTTTTGGTCAGACATCTTTTTGGAAGGTCTTGCCTCACTCAAGTGGTACTTGCTGTACTTAAGAACAAATTTCTCGAAGGCGACTGCCACCCGAAAGATGGCTTCCGTTCTTTTCTTTATTTCTTCCTTACAAAGTTGGTCTATGATAGGTTTTGTTATATTCTGACACAGATCGGTGAAGTCTTCAAACAAAATCATTGCCTCCTGTAATTAGATAAATATTTCTCATTTATCATACATTAACTTCAAGTTTTTCAATATCTGATAATGTTGTAAACTCAATGAAAATTGAATTTCTGCAGGAGGGTCGAATAAGGTAAACAGCCCTTAATAAGCAGCATTTCACGTTGGACTTGTTTTGTATAAACAGTGATGCAAATTTGAGTTCAGATTTCAGATCTCTCGCGAAAAAAAGAAAAAACAATAACAACAACAAAGAAAAACAGAACAACAAAGACCAAAAAAGCTACAAAGACAAATTCACGAGCAAGGACAAAAAAAAAGAAAAAGCCGACAACAACAACACGGGGAAAAACATTAACAAACAAGAAAAATAAATAAAAGAAAGACAGAGCCTGGCAGACATTAACTTCTATGTTTCTATTTGTTTGTTCGTTTCCTTTTTTTTTTTTCCTTCCTTTTCTCGTTTTAGTATGCTATTTAACGTGGAAGAAGAAACATCGATGTCTTTTGCCTGCTTAGGACGCAGCATTCCTAGCTACTTAATAAAATGTATCTTGAGAAAAAAAATCGTTGTTTTGTCGAAAGAAACTCGAAAACTGTTTAAGTTTCAGATATCCTGACATTGCGGAGAGTAAGAGGTATTCACCAGATTCTTATAATTCTCTCAAACTCCTACGCGTTCACATTAAGATGGTCACTTTCAGGATAATGTGCACGCTATCTAGTTAAATGATTAATATATTAAATGTATGGTGATAGATACCTTGAGGGAACTTTCTCTGCTAATGTCTATTCCGTACAGTTTAGAAACATATTCATTTCCCTTAGGTAAAAAGGACAACAACGTTAACATACGCCATAGATTATGGAAATAAT